TGTTGCTCCAGGTTTAAGCTGCTCTGAAATGAATAGAGATGGTGGGAGATGCTTCTGCATCTACCTCCTGTGGCACTTAAGGCATTTCTCTGTCACACCGGACACAGTTTGACACAGCCTACTACACTGGGTGGAGCTGGGATGGAAAATAAGAGAGTGCCCAACAGGAGGAACAAGTCCTGTTCTTGGAGCAACCAGGAATAGCCACACACCATAGGATGTAACTCAACAGGAAAGACCTGGCTGCAAAACAAGCAATTTCCTCCCTCCAACTCACCTTCCAGCCCTTTTTCTGGATACAAGCTTCTTTAAAAAGCATCTTACACTCAGTACTCAGATTTAGTTTGTACTCAAGTACTCAGGATAAGATTTAGTTTGTGCTACCTCAAGGCACTGAACCAGACTATAACAACTACAGAAAACCTCCCCCGGTCAACTTTATGCAATTCTGACCCTGAATCAGCCCAAGGGCTGGCACAGAGCTGGGCAGCAGGTCAGCAATTTGCATCTGGCTCTATTTCCCAGCCTTGAACATTTCAGTAAAGCAGCCACAACTTTTATTAGTTTGCCCATGCCTGTTGTTTTTGTGTCACGCTCTTGCAACAGGAGGTGGTTGTGATTCACTTGGTTTGTTTGGTTTTTCTTTTTCAATCTGTGCAGAGCAAAAAATATTTCCAACCAACATTTTATGATACCAGCATCAACCCACCCTGTAAAAATGAGCTGTCTGCAGAAAATAGCATTGCTGGGAAAGTGAGAAGCTTTCTCCTGGAAATGCTGATGCTCTGACAGCTTCATGTGAAACTGTCCTACAAAGAAGTTTCACACCTGTGGGACCACAGCTCCTGAGAAAACAGTGATGCTGTCATTGAGGAGTAAAAGCTGGTGCTAGCACCACAGTCTCTTGTTTTGCCACTGCTCTCCATCACTACGAGCTCAGCCTCACCTCTGGTCAGCTCTTCTCTTCCTTTGCTAGCTGAACACATCACTGGCAGGCAAGCAGAGCTCCTACAAGAGTTCTTCCAGCACTTGTGAGATGCTTGCCAGCACAATTTTCCCAGTGCAAGGAGAGGCAGCTGAGCTTAGCAAAGCCCAAGAGCTACTACGGGCAGTGCAGACAATTTCCAGGATCTGCCATTTCAACTCTCCCCCATGACCAAGGGCAGGCTGGAGCCAGTTTACCCAGTTGAGGCAGCCAAAGGTCAATCTATCTCTTTCACTGGGAGACCCATGTATTTCCTGTGAGCTTAGAATCCACCAGCTTAGAATTGGTCCTCTCCAGTTTCCAGCCTCATCTGTTAATGAGAAAGAGGGGAATAATTAAACTACCAGACCCCATCCTACCCCAAGCCGCGAATGCAGCCGGCAGCCAGAGATGGGATGAGAGTTTGTCTTGAATCTACACACACGCAGGTAAGCAGGGATGAGACCCTCTTAAGTGTGGCAGTAACTAAAAATGATTTCTGTCCTGCACCAAAGGCCCCAGGGCTTTAGGAACCTGACCCAGCCCTCAAGCTCCTTGCTGTCCTCGCAGCTCTCCCGATGCTCGGTGACTTTCCGGTCATGAGACAGCCAGCCTGGGATGTCACTCTCCTGCTCTGTATAGAAGCGCTGTATCTGCCCGCTCGGTCGCCCATACAGCTCTGACCAGCCCCGGGACACAGCAATCTCCCTCTTTCATCAGAACAATAAACAGGGTATCTGTGCTGACAAGCAAAAGTTCAGTGTGGGATGCAAAAGCACCTTATCAAAGCAAAGCCCAGCTGGTCAGCGTTTAGTTAGAAAAATACATAGAGGCAGGGGGAGGACAGAAATAAAAGGGAAAGATAAGCAAGAATGCAGTGTGCAAGGTTGAAACACTTGTTTCTGTACCAGCCCAGGCTGTTAAGGCTGAACTCACTCCCACTCTGCAAATCCTAACAGACAGGGAACTTGTCATTTACAATCTTCCTTCATTAGAACAACGGGGAGGGCAACAGCCAGAAGACACCCTGACCCATCTGTGTGCTGGGCCAAAGGGGAAGGGGGGCAAAGCCCTTGTCAGTAAAAAGGATCTTACGCACTTCAGATGTGACCAGTGGTCTGGAGCTGACCTCAGCCCTTTGCTCCAAGTGTCTTTCCCCTAAGAGGAAGAAATCCTGCAGAGTCAGACATGCTTTCAGATAACTGCTTACCCAGCTGGACCCCAGAACTGCCACCTGTGCTGGCTGCTGGAAGGGCTCCAGCAATCCCTCACCCTCCCTTCGGTGGCAAACACTCCTAAGCACATATTGAAATGGAGCTGGCTGCTGGTGGGGGAAAGTGTATCCCTTCCTCACACCCTCCGGCACAGTGCTGCAGCATCAGGGAGGCAAAATAAAGGCAGAACAGCAGCAGTGGCCAAGGCCTCGGGGCTGGCTTCACACACACACTGCAAGCGGAGAAAGGCAGATCTGTAGAACACAGTGCTCCAGCCACCCACCACTGCAATGCCAAGTCCCCGGGACTGTGAAATTACTTAAACCCAGGCAGCTCCAAGCACTGAGACCATCTGACTCTGTTTCTTTGTCTTCAGAACTGAGCTCAGGATCACGTCAACTAAGCCCAGCTATGGTTTTTTTTTCCTCAGTTTGCAATGTCCCCTCACCTAATTCTTGCTACACAACTGGACAATGAGGAACCACACCGTGAAACAGCAGAGTAGTTCAGGCTACCTGCAGTGAGGACAGGGCTCTCCCCACGTCTGGTGGGGTGGTGGTGAGGGGAGTAGGCTGAGAGATGCAGCTTTGCCCAGCACCAATTTCCTCCTCTCCCCCAGCACCACAGCCTGGGGAAGGATCCCATGCACATATTCTTCCTTTCTGGAGTGAGCTGGGTTCTAACCAGCAGCAGGAACTTCGCCCCTTGCCCGCAGGGCTGTAACATCTCAAGGTGTCTTTGCAGAGGCTTCATACCTGGTGCTAGTGATGGGCTGTGGCACGTGAGAAATTTAATTACGTGAAGAGCTGCCAGCTCCCGCAGAGCCCAGGACCGAGGCCAGCACTGCACCACGGTGAACGCAGCACACCAGGCCCAGCCCCGGCACGAACAGCCACACAAATGTCCCATGCTGCCGCTCTTCTCCATCCCATTCCCAGCCTCCAGGACCAGGGCTTGAGCAGCAAACCAAGCCCTGCAACCCTGTCAACCCTGCAGCGAGGGATGAGCCTCTAGATGTGGATGCAAACAGCAGCAATGTGCTGATCTGCAGGTTTTACTAAAGATGCTGCGCTTGCCTTTCACTGTGCCTGGAGCACTGGGGAAGTTAGAGGGCTCCCTGCCACCCACCATGTCCCTTTTGCCCCTGTCCCATTTCTTCAGCCTCCCCCACGTTCTCCTCCTCACCCACAGACCCACTTCCTAAAGGGCAAAGGTTATATAGAGCAAAATGCAATCTGTTAAATAGGACACAGGACTGACTCTTAATGAGAGTGCCACACAGCTACCTCTGATACCTCCCTAACTGGAATCCCTCAGCCTGTGTCCCAGCTAAGCCCTCAAAAAAAAAAAATAAACCCCCAAACACAACAGAGAAACAGAGATAAGCAGAAGCTGATCCCCTTGCAGGGAAGTGTCCTAACACTAATTGGCTTTGGTGTTTGTTGGTGACAGATCCTCGCTGGGTTCAATGCCCGGAAAGCCACCCTCTGACAGATGCAGAGGGAGGGCCAAATGACTGTACTGCATGTGCATGTCAAGCACAGCTCACAGAGACAGGTGGAAATCAACCACTCAAGCCATCTCTTCCCCTTCGGCACAGTTTTACTCCAGGACAGGCATTTCCAAACACACCAAGCCCCCAAAATTCAACTTTTCCCCTGCCTTCCTAAGTGGCACAGGGGAAATGTCTATGGAGACACACATGACCCCCATCCACTGTTCAATCTCAAGCTCCATACCTTCTCCCCGAGTTGCATCCCCTTTTCTGAGCTTCTTCATTTGCCAGCAGATAAAATAAACAACACAATACCAGGAGCAACCTTCCACTGCCCTCCCTGCCCGTGCCTCTCCCCTTTGTGCAATGGGCAGAGGCCACCTCGGAGCCACACACCCACCACCCTTCCCTCTGCTCCTGGCCCTTCATCCGCAGGCAGCAATCGGCCTGAAGAAGGACATAATAAATAACAGCAGAAGAATAACAGATGGCGCAGAATAAACCACGGGAAATTCGTGTCCTCTGAAGTTGTCGGCGAATAGGAAACACAGAGGAGCTGTTGTACTGCAAAGCAGCATGAGATCTGCAGCTTGGCTGAACCCGCCAGCTTAGCCAAACACCAGAACCGCTGGGGACAAGACGGGGTCTTTTGTTAAAGCCTCCCTAGAGGGTATTAATCAAAAAGCTTGGAAGACACATGAGAAAAGCAGTAAACGTTAGTCTGCTCTTTTCAACACACGAAGCTTGGGCTGTGCTCTAAGCTTGCTCCTTGAAAACATTTCTTTGTTCAGTTTCTGCTAAGATTGGATCAGATTATAAGTCCCTGCGTGCCATTTCAGATGTACATACTTTCTCAGAGAGCAGAGATCTACAAATATTTACTCACAGAGCTCATTTGCAGCTAACAGGATAAGTACAGATGAATAAAGAAATTAACTGTATTATGCAAATATACTTCATTTCTCCCTGCAAGTTAGAGGAAATGGTTACTGTGTCTGCTTCAGGGCTTTTCGACAGCCTTCAATACACCCAGCTTGTAGGAAAAGGTTTTTAGAATATATAAAGGAAAGGACTTGGCAAGAAGAAGGATCTAAAAATGTAATTAAAAGCAATCAGGGAAGCCAGAAGCCCCTTCCTGAGATCACAGGCATTTTAGCTCACTTGAATGAGAGACAAAAGTCTCCTCAAAGAGACAAAAGAAATAAGAAAAGACTAACTCTTCTCAAAAGACACGACATGGGTAGAAAATACCCGGCACAGGGAGTAGCTGTCCCCTGCAGACACTGCTGCATCTCAAGGTTGCAGCCAACCGCAGCCCTGGACTTACCTTGTGGAGCCGTGATGATCCTGGGGTTCACCTTGGAGTGCCCCGCTGCCCACATGGCCAGCTGGCTGACCCACAGGGCCACCAAGAGGGCAACAGGCAACCTCCTGCCCATTGCTATTTCTTCAGCAAGCAGGGATCACAAGCTTGTGAGGCTGACAGCTGCATCGCTTGCCTTATACAAGCGAGTGGGCAGCCAATGACTGAAACAGAGGGCGGGACTACATTTAACTTCTAGGAAGCAAACCTCATAAAAAAAAGACCCAAAGCAACTCTTCTTCATTTAGCGCTTCATCTTCAGCACTTGGCACCTGCAGGCTTTTGATCCCCCTTTTTTTTTTTCTCTTTTTCTGTGAGGGAAAGGTGGGAGTCCAATGGCTTTGTTCACCTTCAAGCTGCGGCTGATCCAAGCCTTGTAATCAACTTATCACAAAGACTTGTACGAGGAATATTAAGGCTGATACAAATGAAATAAGAATGAAAATATGTGTAAGAACACAAGAAGCCACAACAGACCAAGAGTGCAGAGGCCGATAACAAAGGATGCCGCTCCCAGTCACTTAAATAGAGGGAAGTGTCGAGGCCAGAAAGCTGCGCTCAGACATCCAGGCAGCAGGAACAGCTTGCTAACAGAAGACCCTGCTCTACCATCAGGAAGATGCAGCACAACTCTTGGGCCAGCCCTCTTCCTGCTAGTGCTATAATAAGATAATAACAAAGGGCCACTCCTAGCAAAATAAGCCACTGCCCAAAAACTCAGTCATCATTACAAGACAGGAAGAGTACAAGACATACCAGACACACGTTCGACCAGTCAAACTCGCATCCTGGTGCTTGCGAGAGTGGGATGACATCCCACAGCACAGGTGGAAAATCCACTTGGAGCTGGAGTGAAGAAATACTCCCTTCCCTAAGATCCTGTCCTTACTTTTGTGATGTTAACATTCTCCAAAAGAACGGGATGCTGAGCACACCCCCCTCACCGGGCTGGCCTGCCACAGGGATGTGGCACAACCTTTGGAACGTCACTTTGCTTTGCCAAACCTCCCTGTGCTCCTGATTCCCCATTGGGAGGCCAGGAAGGGCTGACTGTCTTTGTGAAGTGCTGTGAGGTTTGTTAATGAGAAGAGCAGGGTATTACGTGCAAGGAAAGCGAGGTCGGACGTGACCAGAATAGGAGAGCCCCATGGGGAACTCACAAGGATGAGAGACACAGCTGCATTCTTTCAAGTTGGTATTGAAGCTAGACCCAGGACTGCCCTGCTCCTGAAAGAGATGAACAGTGGCAGGGCAAGGGGGGCATTTTGGAGGAAGCAAAAAATTAATGAGCCAGCTAATGGTGAATTTTAAGGACCCAGAGGAATTTCCCACCAACTCTAAGCATGGGGTTTTATCTGTGTCTTTAACCAAATATCTGCTTGGGTAATTACAGTGTGATAACACACAGATCATCTCTGGTTTTTCACTTTTGGACATGGTGATTCCCAACCTTGAACCATTTTGTATTGCTGCTCACCTCGAAACAACCACCCATTCCAACCCCGAGGTGGTTGTATTTCTCTACCTGCCCCATTGCTCCCAGAGGTACTAAACCCCACTATCTCCGGTTTCCTTCCAGAGAAGTCTTGCCATAAAACATCCAATTCATTAAGGTTCTTTCACACAGTCAGGAGTGAAAAATAAATGTTGTTTGTAAATCAACAGCCTAAGCCATACAATCCATGCTGGTTCCTTAAGAAACACGGGGACTTCGCTTTCTGCATCCACCCCAAATTGGGGCTACACCGAGAGTTGCATACGTTATTATCTGCTCTGCCTTTCATGACACGACGCAGCTGGTGGGATGGGAAACTGGCTTTCAACTCTCACTCTTGACAAAGTTGCCAAGTGGAAACACAGAAGGGTTCTGATCAGAGATGAACGAGGAGAGTTTCTGCCTCGTGAGAACAGTAAATCCTTTGCTCCTTGCCCTTAACACAGCTGGGGACTCTGCATGGGTAGCTTCTAGGGTTTGTGGGGTTTTTTTCTACCTACAGCTAAATACAATGCTCATGTGTATAAAATTCAGCTTCAGAGTCTCTCATGATTTTGGAAGTGTTCAGCTCTGGGCTCTTTCTACTTCAACACACAATACCCACTCCATCTCCGAGACCATGAGCTAAGCCACCCCATGAACACTACTATATTGTGGTCCCAGATTCAGAATGATGCTGTAGCACCTTTTCCTTTTGCTAAGAAGAGACTCAGCAGACAGCTTGGTGTGTATCAATTAAATACAAAGCTGGGGGAGATCTCTGCATGCCTGCTCACCAGCAAAGAAGCCTGCAGCAGAGGAGAAAAAAGTGACAGTGGTGAAAAAGGCAAGTATACACGAGCATCACACCCAAAATGCTGGTTACAACTCTTCAAATGAATGGTCTTCATTAAAACTGAGCTTTCACCCAAATGCCTTTGCTGCCTCCAGAAGCTACAGCTCCCCTTACCATCCTTTTTCTGCCCCGCAAGTTTCTTCAGAGCAGCAACATGACTGATCAGCCAGAGTGAGCCTGACTCCCACCGATACAGAAACACCAGATCATTGCAAAGGACAACATTGGAAAAGTGACTTCAATCAACACACAGGCAAGATCTAGATCAAGGAGCAGCCCCAGCTGGTACACTTGGGAGGAGCGTAGAGCTGATTTCAAGGTTGCTCTAACCCTGTACCAGTTTGCAGAGGGTGCTGATCACAGAACAGTGCCCTGAATACAGCCAGAAACTCACTATGCTTTAAGTATACACACACCCATCCCAAAGCAAGCAAGCGCTTCTGCAAGAGAGTTTTGTTTGCTCCGGACCTGCTTGGCCACATGCCACGTCCTCCACTACCGACAAGGAATGCGTACACAAGAGATTAGATTCCAGGCACGAACTCCCTGCTCACCTCGACTCCACAGAGGTTTCCAGCTGCTTCACTCAAGTATCAAAACTTCCACAGTGCAAATTATGTGCATTTTTTTTTCCAGGTCATACTACTCAGTTCCAATGTGGATCAGAAGGTACCTTCCCCCAAGTATCTTGTAAAAATCAAAGCACAGATTTTTCTTTAAGAGGAACAGTTTTATTTACCACTGCAGAGGAGGTAGACTGCTTGAATATTTGTGGTCCAGGCAGTCTAACTATTATGAAATCTCCTATTTTAGTTGGCATCTTTTCATTAGAGAAGATACGCGAGAACATTATTGACAACAACGTATCAACTACCTTCTTCTAACTCCAGGCCAGGAACATGACCCTGAGAAACAGCCTGTAGATGTGACAGGTTTCAATATAGACAAAACTTCCTCAGAAAAAAAATACCAATGCCACAAACATTCTTATCCCTGCAAAAGCCAGGCAAGATCTTTTCTCTGTTGTGCCATCTCTTCTAGAAACCTGACAAGCTCATCTTGATCTCTGGCCGTTATCAGTCATGGCAGCTTCAGAACAATACAAAGAGGGACCTTTCTGAACATGGCACGAAGTGCTGAGCGTGTTCACCCAGTCTGTCGTGCCACACATGTGCATGTGTTTCCACAGTCCCTCCCAAAATGAGATTGGGAAACTGCATGTTTTGGCACAGAGCATGGGAAATCCTCTGTTAAATCCTGCCTGTCCGGAGACCCTGCTGCAAGGTGGACTGATGTCTCATGAGGCTGGGACACAACTATAAATTAACATTTATAGAGTTTTGGAAAAAACAAAGCTTCCATTTCTTACCCCTCACACTTTGCCTTTGGGAGCAAGTAGACTTAAAAGCATGGACTCTGAGAGGAAAAACTGTAATTCCACTTTCTTTTTGCACTGACCAACAGGTCTTTCAGTCCTCAGATGACAAAGTGAGGTGGGAAGGAAGCAAAGTGAATCACTCATGAGCAAACTGATACCTTAGGCATTCAACACACAAATCCTCCTCCCAACTCACATTCCTCGCAGACAGCTATCAAAAGCTCAACCATCCCCTGTTCAAGCCACAGCCCTGCAATGGCTCCCAACCCTCCAGCCCATCTACGCATGTTGTTTTCCTGCAAGCTCATCTCCCTCAGCTATTAAAGCTGGACTGAGTCTGGAGAGGGCTGGTCAGTTGGGATACCTCCTCCTCTCAGTTCTGCCAGGTCTGCTGCCCCAAAAAGGGCTACCAAAGGGGCCAGAAGCACCCATGTGCTAAATGCCACCCCCAGGGCTTTAGAAAAGAGTCAGGGAAGGGGAGAAGGAACCAAGTGCCCCAGGACTTCTTTTTTCTAGTAGGTCAACTCCTCTGACTTGTTAAAGGTGGCACAGCTGTCTCACACTCAACTCCTTGAAGAACAACACAAAAACTCTCGGTGGGACTCCCCTTCTTCAGTGCTTTCCCCTCTGCCGCTGAGGAAACCCCTGGGGCTCAGCCCAGGCAGGACCTCCCAGACCAGAGCTTCACAACACTATCCACTGATCCCAGCAGCTTGCAGAGGTCCTGCGCTAAGAGTAGCCACAAACAAACTCGGCTCATCGAGATGACCTTGAACCATACCTCACCCTTTCCATTACAAACACCCATTTGGTTGGCAAATGCGTTTCACATGAATGTTTGTCACATGAACAAGCAATAGTGATTCAGTGAGAACTCATTGACAGAGCAGGAAAGGAGGTAAACCAGATGGACATCGGTGACACAGACTGCCAAGAGCAGCCCTCGGACAGGAGTAACAAAGGCTTTAGGCAGAGTAAGTAACCCAATGCAGAATCCTACCCAGTTAAAAGAAAGTTAAAACAACAAGGACAGAAATTAGTTGCTTTGTTGAGATTGATCTGCCACACTCCCACCAGGAGAGCTGCACATTGCTATATTAATGCTGCACAGCGTGCCAGATCTGTATTCCTACGAGGGCCCAGCAGGCCAGACTGTTTTGCTTACCTGGAAATCTTGCTGTTTCTTTTCTTGACCACTGTGCTCCTCTGCTTCCTGGCAGGGCCTGGATTTCAGGGCAGCATCACCTCGTACTGCAGAGCAGCTACTGCGCTCTCCTGCAGGAATGGCTGTGTGTCAGCAGTGGGCAAAGCAGCCCCCTCAGCAGTACTGACTCCTACATCTGCCAGCTGTTCTGACCAGTCCTAACA